GAGGTCTTGGAGGATGTCATATGTTCAATGCCATACTATTGTCCAAACGAACCTGACCAACGTGGCACAAGACTGTGACCTTGGTTGACGACAGATCAATGTCCAGTTACCTCAGTTTATGGCTTGTTGCCTACTTCGATTATGTTGTGTAAGACAAACAAGTTTAATTGTTGATTATGACTTGTTGCCTCATTTGAAATGGTGACCTTGCATGAATGGATTTAAATACTTAGGGTGTGCTGGAACTTTAAAAGTTTGGAAACAGGTTTCCTTGCATTTTGATATGTTCTGCAGCTTACTGATTATGCTATAAGGTAGTGTCTTCATAGTTGCAGCTCACTGAAGTTGCTGAAATGAAGTAGAATTCTAACTGATCTGTCTGTCCATTTGTTGCCTTGGTTTATTTTGCTAAGGTTTGATCAGCTTTGTCTAAGAATTAATACATTTGTTTTCATTATAAATTTCATAATGGAAGAAAAGAAATAGATTCAGACAATGATATAAGAAAACCTCTGTTAGAGTTACATTATTTGGTCACTCTCAGAACAGCCTAATAATTTCTCTTATTGCAACTGTTTGATCATGTGTAGCTTTTCTTCTTTTTTCTTCAGTAATGCTGAATAATTCCCATGATGCTGAACAATTTTGTTCTCATTTTAGACTTACAAAAATAACGTTTATTCATGCTCTATGAGCTGCACTATCAATAGTTTATTTGACAAAATATGATTAGATATTTGTTTGACTATAAGACATTGGATTGATCATCATTGTCCAAACCAGCAACATTAGTTTATAGAACACCATAAACAACAACATTACACCAGAAACATCAGTTTATTAATTAAACACCAAAATGACACCAGCAACATTACACTGGAAATGTCGTTTGTTCGGGGAATCCGCGAACCTTGAAGCTCTTCACGAAGCCACGTTTACACCAAGGGCAATGTCGTTTGTTCGGGCAATCCGCGAAGAAATGCCCTTCGCTCTACAGCTATGGCAGACTCGGACATTCTTTCCTGTCATTCTAACACACAACCAACCAACATATATCAAATCAATGCATAAAAACATTTGAAATCACAAATCAAAATTCGATGACTGCTAAATTCGAAATTAACATGTTATTGGATTTGTGATGTTGATCAGGCATAAACGAGGAACACTATACAGTAGAATATTTGATCGAGAACAGCAAATGCACCTCTGTTGCAGTACTGAAGAAGGGTCAAAATGCATCCATCTTCAAAAAAAAAAAAAAAAACTTCTGGCTCTTAGCATAGGCACCTTATATGGATCCTGCCAGCAAAAACTTGTACCAATCCATACCTTCTGTTGGAGATCCCGCCGACGTCAGAATTGAGGAAAAAAAACAAACAGCCACTCCGGTTTCTTCGAAACATAACAAAACAACACAAAAGTTCAGCAACAAACCAAACGAACGAAGGGAGATTTCTTCGCACTACGTAAGGGTTTCCATTGGGTTCTTCAGATTTCGAAATATTCCTTTCGTTCAGCGATATGGGTTATCAGATTTCGGGGGTCAGGTTTCCTTCATCGTCGCCGGTCATCAAGATTTCGGGCTGGGGTTTATGGGTAGGTCTCAATTTTTGGGGGAGATCTCAATTTTTTGGGGGAAACCACCGGGAACTCGTGAATTTGGGGGAGAGAAATCTGGTGTTTGATTTTGGGATTTTTTAGTTTGGGCTGGGTCATCATTTTGGGCCGGGTGGACACGTAACCGTGTAAACCAGCAGGTAAGGCAAAGCGTACCTGTAGCGCGACTGTTACATTTAACAAACTGAATTGAGTCCACCTAACATTATCTCTTCACTTCGTCAAATCAGACCTATGGGAATGGAAAACCAAATCCAAGAAGAAAAATGCTATAGGTACCTGGCAATTTACCTGCTGGTATACACGCTGAGGTGGTAAATGAAGGAAAAAAAATCAAAAACCAAAAAGTAACCAAAAACCGGGAAACCGGGAAAAGTTGCAAAAAAGAATCCAAAAAGAGGGAAACCGCGGAACCAAAGGGAAGCCGCCTCCTGAAACCTCTCTCTCACCATTTTCCGCCCAAACCTCTACAAACTGCCGACCAAAGAGAAGACGCCTCCCTCCACTCCGGTAGGACATCGGAGATCGAAGAACCTTCTAGCCGGCAAAATAAACATTAAGCTTGAAGCTCACGTACCTTTGTAGAGATGACAAAGAAAGGTATTTCCCATCCCTTATTTTTTGTAGTTTGAAAATGGGGGTATTATTAAGCTGGTTGAATGGGTTAATAAACATAATATGCCTGGTGCTGCTCGAGTGACCTTTAGCAGAGGAAGATTCTTTTTTTCCAGCGTTGTAAGAAGTCCGAAAATCTTTGTGTTTAGTTAAGTTAATGTGTGGTCAAGTGCCAAATCTTTGTGTCTGGTTGAATGGGTTATTGAATTTAGATGCAATCTGGCAAATGAATATGAGTGAATAGTGCACAAATAAGCGCCTTCTTCCTGTATGGGAAAAAATAGTTAACTTCAATGTATTGGAGATTTGTTGGATGTTTTATTCTCTGTTGGCTGTTTGTCTTTTCAATTATCGTCAAACCGTTAAATTAATTTAGCTTCATACTTGGGTGAATTGAATTTTTTAATTGGCTGTATTTCTCTGTTGAAGGTATTTTTAACATTGTTCAATTGGTTGTTCATTGCAGTGAGTGGAAGTTTGGAAGAGGTGGATGAACATATTTTTGTCACAATCCAATAATGGGAAGGTTTATTGCGACCTCATTTCAGCCAC